GCTGGACGGGCGGAGCGGCCGCGAGGGCCAGGAGGAGGATCAAGAGGATCGTGTCCTCCGGGGGCCGGTCCTGGGGTGGGACCCCAKGTCCAGCCTTTCATCACCACTGCACAGAGAAGACGCACGCCGGGACCTGCACCTATCCCTAGCCCAGGCCACTGAGATGGGAGCTGCAGTGAAACCCAGGGAGACAATGGCACAGGATGAAGAGCTTCCCTACCTCCTCGTTAGCACTAATTACTGCTGCCGCCTGGCACCAGGCGAGGGGCTGAGATGTGCAAGAGCCCAAGAAAAGCCGAAGGTTTGGCGCCRTGGCCTGCAAGCGCCGTGTGCCCGTGCCCAGGAGGCAGCGCGACCCACGCGTCCTCCCCTTGGCGCCCGCTGCCCCGCGGCGCCCGCTGCCCCATGGCACCCGCTCCAGCGCAGCTTGACGATACTCGGGGAGGAAGGAGGTGCTGGATTTGCCTCCTCTCCCTCCGTCCCGCTGTCAATCCCTGCGGCAGYGACGCTCGCAGGGGTCAGAGCGCCCTGCAAAGCCCCAGCTTCCCAGGCCCGTGCACCCCTCTCCAGTAATTAATTACCCCCAAGGTAATTAATTACCTTGCCACCCCATCCCGGCCTTGGCAGAGGGACAGCAATCACACAGGAGACCCACCGAGGAGCTAAACGGCACAGATGGAGGCAAGGGAGTCACCCCGGATCRGGGCTCCTCATCCCCCGTGCTGGCTCCCACTGGGTGCCCAGGGGCTGGGAGCCTCTGCCCTTCCTCCTCCTCCTCCTCCCTGTCCCTCCGGCTGCCCCCGTATTCTCCCTTGCAGCGTCCAGCGGTCCCAGGACCCCCGGGGCTGCAGAGCCCAAATGCGTCCTGTTCTCCCTGCACGTTTCCCCAGGAAACCCAGCACCGGCTGCAGCCAAAAATATTAGTCAGCACGATACGCAGCACAATGTTAATGAGAACTAAATTGATTCATGAAAACTACCTGCTCAGCAGGTTATTAGCTGTTTTTCAAAGATAACTACGTTGGGTCCTGGCATTGTTTCCAGTCCTTGTATGCAGTCCTTACCAGGAGTTAAGTCCATAGGYAACAGATCATTAGAGCCAGGATGAACCACCCGCTCCGCCCGTCCTCGGCGCCCTCCACAGCTCCAGGGCAGCTTAATCAATGGTAGTAATTTTTTTATTAAGGGAAATTTCACACGGGCAGCTAGACAGATATTAACTTGGGGATCACAGCTTATATACCAAGCCAGCAGCCAGCATGGTTTGAAGCAGCTGTGCTGCAAATCCCTGGAAAACCAGGAAAATCCTGGGACACGGGACTGGCCCCGCTGCAGCTGCAGGCTTTGGTAACAGGCACCAAGCAGCCAAAACCTCTCTTTCCAGCTGCAGCACTGAGCAGGTTTTGACACCCAAGATTAACTAGTTAATCCCCATGCACGAAGCTGCCGGTGGAAGGTTAAACCAGGCACCAGTCGGGACGTGCACTGGGATGCTCAACGGTGCAGAGAGCCGGAGCTCTTGGGCCTGAAAGCGGCGTTTTCTGTAATGCCCGAGCAGAAAACAGGGTCCTGCCAGGGTCCCCAGCGCAGGACACACTCGCGCAAAGACCCTCCAGCCTCTCCTTCCCTGAGGATCCCCCAGCCGCCGACCTCGGATCCAGCGCCCGGCAGCTTCCAGGGATGGAGCAGCAGGAGGGAGCCGGGCACCGGGGCAGGGCAGCGCTCCCGGGGCACCAGCAGCTGCTGCCTCCACCCACAAAAAGACGATTTCACCCCATTTTCACCCCGTCCCTCCACAGAGGGTGAGCAGGAGGCAGGACGATGGCATCGCACGTTCTGCATGTGCATGGAACAAGCCGCATTCCCCACCGGGACCAGCCGCATTCCCCACCGGGACCAGCCGCGCTCCTCGTGGTCTCCGCCAGCCCGGAGGAGCCTGCAGCCGCTCCTGCCCCGTGTCCCCCTCTCCCACACCAGACACAGGGACGTCTCCATGCGTGCCGCCTGTGGGAGATTGCATTCCGGTTTCAGTTATTTCCTACAAGCAAAACTCTTTAAAAATAGATAAAGCTGTCTAATAGCAAGCTTTCTGCTTTCTAGAGATGCCAACAGAGAGGCTCAAGGAGCTGGCAGCACCGTGCCCCACATCCATGCCCCATCCTCACACATATCCATATCCCAATCCCTATCCCAATCCACACACGCATGCAGAGGTGCCAGGCAAGAGCCGCTTTTACAACAGCTGCTTCAACAGCCTTGCAGACACATCCAGACCCGCAATGTGAAGATGCCTCCGTAACGGCTGTGCTCATTTACGTAGGAAATTTTCCAAATAAAAGAATTTGACCTGAACCCCCTTATTTGCAGGAGTGACTTCAAAGCTTTTGGCAAATAAATAACCCCAGGGGGTTGATCCCAATGGAGCGGCAGTGCCAGCAGCTTCGCTCGGGCTCCTCCACAGCAGCGCCAGCTCCTGCCCAGTATCACTAACCCTCCATCGGAGCAAACAAACCCAGCACAGCTTTCCCGAGGGCAAATCCTGCCTGCTCCCCAGCCTTCCAGGGCACGGTGCTGCAAAGTGGCCTTTTCCGCATTTTCCCCATATATTTCCCCCTGGAGTGCCAGGCTGCCGGGCAAACCCGGTCAGGGACGTTCCTGTTCATGCTCCAGGATGCTTGGCAGACACRGTCAGAAAGCAAGGCCAGGAAGCTGGTGGAAAATGGGCATTTTTGGCCGCTGAAGGAGCAGTGGGAAACGCTCACCATGGGTGTCAGGACAACCCACACCTCTCCGATAAAACAGGAGTCGGGTGCCAGAGCTCTTAGCGATCCCACCAGCTGCTCCATGAACTTTCAGCTTCATGCGGTAGCCGGGATTGCTGCGCAGGAGCCTGGCGAGCACCTTTCTTGTTCGTCCTGGTCCGAGGTCASAGATTGCTGTGTTTTGAACCCGCAAAACCTTCTGTTTATTTTCCCACATCTCCAGTTCCTGCAGCACGGCTGCTTTCCCAAAGGAAGAGCGACCGCCTGCCCAGAGGCGGCTGGAGCACCGGGCAGCTGCGCATCCCCAGCCTCGCGCGCTGCCGCTGCCGGCAGCGATTCCAGGTGCTCCCCGGAGCAGCCGCTCGCTCCGATGGAAGCGCGAGGCAGAACCCTGGCCCTGTCCAGGGCACCCGCTTTGGCCCGTTGCTGAACAAAAACCGCAGTTCTGGTAAATCATTCCTTGTTTGTGCTTGGCATCAGGGAGCACAAAGCGGAGCCTGCTCCTCCTGCGCCAGGGAGCCAGAATACYGCAGGCGGCAGATCTATACATCAGCATGTATAGAAATGACTGTGGCGGAGGAGATCATGCATGGATGCACAGCAGTCGGCTGCCAGGAATGGCATCCCAAGATGGGAAGCCCTTGGGAATTGCCTCCGCGCCTGGACCAGGCACTGGGGAACGGGAGCAGGGATGAAGGATGCACCTGCGCCCCGCTTTGGCCCTGGAGCAGCACCAAGGCAAACTTGGATAATCAAACAAAAAAGGCTTTATTTAGAGGCAAAATCACSACGATCCCCTCCGCAGGCCCTTCCCAAGCACGGCGGAGGTTATCGCTGCTGGCGAGCTCGGCCAGCGCTTTCGGCTGGGGGTAAATGAGAGCTCTGCACATTGCGCCCCTCCATGAGGGGTCTGCTCCCACCAGAGCCCACGGAGCCAGCGGAGCCCACGGAGCCGAGGCGGGCGGCGTGAGCAGTACCGCAGGCAAAAGCCACCGCTCACGCTTTGGATCGTTTCGCTGTGTTTAAGTAAAAATAGAAATATGTAAATTGGAACCAAGAGGCTTGGAACCCGCCGAGACAAAGGGAGGCTACAGTTGGGAGCAAGACGTGCGAAATCGCTGCGCTCGTAAGGGAATGACCTTCAAAACTCATTCACTGCTCCTCGMCGCTACGTCGACAGTGATTTTCCCACTCGCGAGACATTATACATTCCTGCTATGTCCGCTTTAATTTTGCATGGGCTATAAATACTTTGCTTATAAGGCAGCACGGAAGCAAAAGGAAACAAACGCTTAACTGTGGTAACCTTGCTCGCGAGGGGAACTCGAGACGGTTCTCTCTACCTTAAGCCATGCATACTAAACACCAGCATCCACTATTTACTATGCTAAACATAAGATAAGTCACTGCAATACGTGATCAAGCAGCATTTCCTCTTAAAAAATTGGCACACAGAATAAAGACACCTTATTAAACTCTAGTAAGGACAGAATATCCAGATTTTTCTAAATGGCATTGCCAACACTTTTGCTCTCCTAAACCACATTTTCCCACTTAATCTGTATTAAAAACAGCCTCCAAGAGGCAAATTAGTTCTGCTTATGCAAACTAAGCCAGGTTGCCATTAGAGCTGTTTACTGGGTCACACTTTACAACCCAGGATGGGGAGGCCGGGGGGAGGCGGCGGCGTTGGCACCTTCGCGGGTATTTGCACAAAACACCCCATCTCCCCACCGCGGAGCGGCTCCGCGCACACACGACGGAGCCTCCCGGGCTGCAGCCGCCCCCGCAGCCGGGGCTGCCCGCAGCGCGGGGGCCGCTCCGGAGCCGCGGGCGGAGCACGGGGGGCAGCGACGCGTCCCGGCCCTTGGCTCCAAACTCTGCGCTGGATCCTCCCTCGGCCACAGGCTGGAGCGGAGCCAGCCGGTACCGGCAGCAAGCGGTGGTGAGGGCTGGCTGTGCGGGTGTGCGGCGTGCGGGTGCCAGCAGCAGCACCTTGCAGGGATGGCTGTAACGGAGCCAACAGCAGCCGCCGATGCCCTGCGCTGCCGCCGGCCCCGGCCCCCGCGAGCCGGCCGGGGCGCGAGCGGGTGCCGCTCCGCCGAGTTGGGGCTCTCTGTTGTTGTTGTCTTCCCGCAAGAGCCCGCGCGGCTCCGCGCTGCCCGCGGGCGGCTCCGCGCCGGGAGGGGACGGCGCGGCGCGGCGCGGGGCTGCCTTTGTTCGCGGGGCCGCGCTCACCTGGATGGTGCAGCTGTACTCGCTGTCGTCCAGCAGCCGCACGGTGCAGTTGTACTCGCGCTCCAGGCTCCTGCTGCTGCCGCTCATCCACCTGCTCAGCATCTTCCCGGGCCGCGCGCGCGGAGCCGGCCGAGCCCCCGCTCACATCGCGCACGCG